CACCTGTGGTCAGGAGTTTTGCAAATATCTCAGCATTTCATATGAAGTAACTATGTTACTGAGGAAGATGCAAGGTTTGGGAGAGTATCATGGCAGAGAGTACAGGTGGTTTTCCCTTCTGCGACGTCCTGTATGAATCCGCTGCAGAAGATCGTTTTTGTAGCTATAAAGTAGCACAAAGAATGTTGTCAGTTTAGGAACCACACAGGTTTACATTTAGGGCTCCAAGTTCCAAGTCGTTTACCTGCATGTGGACCGCACCGCTAGCCTTTTTACCGAAAGTGGAAGATCGGTGGGATCACCTTAAGAATTGATGATGCTCAGCTTCTATGGTCACTAAGAGTGAGAATTTTATCGGCTTTAACGATGCTCAAATATTTGCAAAACACCGAACCACAGAAGTCTGCGACGGGGAACGAACGCGCTGTTACTCTTTCCGGAGGCTAACCTGTTCACCACCACACCTTTCTGGTCCTTCGTTTCGCCTGTCTCTCAGCTAGTTCTATCATTCACTTGCCATCAGCAACCACTCGTCATCGGGTTTGATTTGAGGAGCACAAATTGGCATTGAATCCAGTTAAGCTGAAGCTGTAACTGAAATGTTAACTGTGTTAACCAATGTTAACTTTTTATTTGCTGCCTAGTACACTTTTCACGATAGGTTATGTGAAATACAACTATAACGTTGCTGAGGTATTTGCAGAACTCCAGATTTCACGTAGTACCTGCCGTGAAAAGTTTAAGGAGGTCGCAAATCAAAAGTCAGCATTGCTGTTTTCATTGACTTTTTCTGCTTGTAACTGTGAGTTCTGGTAGACTCTGTGCGTGAAACATTATCGTAATCGCTCTTGTTCTCAGTCACTGTCGACCATATTTTTCGCTACTATTATAACAGTGCTAAAATGTTCTGTTTTAAAGAGGTTTGTGTATTCGTGTTTAAAATATGTAGAAGTTTCTCCATTTTCTATTTTCTCGCTTTCCTAATGCCAAATTTACTAAAATACTCAGCACGTAGTTATAAGGTCTCTTGTAAAACGTCCTTGCTCTTGTGACGCTCTTAAATTTACTACATTATTGGTGAACAAATACGTGGTGACACTATATCCTTTAATGTTGCTGAGATATTTGCAAAACTCTGGACCGCAGGTGTCTATGGTGGGGAACGAACGCGCTCTTATCCTTTCCGGGGAGTAACGCGTTCACCACCACACCATGCGGGTCCTTTGTTTCGCACGTCTCTCAGCTATTTCTATTGATCTTTTTGCCACAGCAATCACCCGTCAGCGGGGTTGATCTGGGGAGCGCAAATCGGCATAGAACCCAGTTAAGCTATGGCTGTAGTTGAAATCACAATGTTTTAACGTTTTGTTTTCTGCCTTCTATAATTTTCATGGCAGGTTACTAAGCGAAATACAACCACAATGTTGCTGAGATATTTGCAAAACTCTGGACCGCAGGTGTCTATGGTGGGNCGTTCACCACCACACCATGCGGGTCCTTTGTTTCGCACGTCTCTCAGCTATTTCTATTGATCTTTTTGCCACAGCAATCCACACCACAGCAGCTATTCCCCACCATAGACACCTGCGGTCCAGAGTTTTGCAAATATCTCAGCAACATTGTGGTTGTATTTCGCTTAGTAACCTGCCATGAAAATTATAGAAGGCAGAAAACAAAACGTTAAAACATTGTGATTTCAACTACAGCCATAGCTTAACTGGGTTCTATGCCGATTTGCGCTCCCCAGATCAACCCCGCTGACGGGTGATTGCTGTGGCAAAAAGATCAATAGAAATAGCTGAGAGACGTGCGAAACAAAGGACCCGCATGGTGTGGTGGTGAACGCGTTACTCCCCGGAAAGGATAATAGCGCGTTCGTTCCCCACCATAGACACCTGCGGTCCAGAGTTTTGCAAATATCTCAGCAACATTGTGGTTGTATTTCGCTTAGTAACCTGCCATGAAAATTATAGAAGGCAGAAAACAAAACGTTAAAACACTATATCCTTTATTGACGATATCGTAGACATTTCAGCGGATTTCACCTTCACCAGAGCCTGGAAAGGTCAATTTGACAGTAATCTACAAGTCCAAACACCTCCATAAACGAACAGAAAAAATACTAAACTAAGATTTAAATGATATTGAAAACGAAGTAGCTCATTCGCACATTTACCGCTTTCTATGAGTCTTACACTAAGTATTTCACGTGGAGACCAACCGGGCAGGGTTCATATGGAAGTATAATGCGCCTCCTTCACAGTAAATTATCAGTCTTAAACATGGCTTAAGATCACGCATGAGGAGGATGTACTAGACCTTGCGGTTCATTTTCGAATTCCTGGAATTTATCTAGAACGCCTCAAGAGTTTTGTGCATCATTGTTCTCGATTCCTGTCCTAATATGGCATATTCTACTTTAAAATCTTTACCACTATACCTCTGTGTCCTATGCGTGCCTAGTGGAGCACTTGGCTAAACTTTATGATAACCAACCAGGTCTTCGTTTACACAAATACACAGTGCTGTACCCGTTTTACCAATATATTCGTTCCCGCAAGTTTTAAAAGGGATCAAATAAACCGTACCCGAAGTCATGTAGTCACCGCCTCTGTAGTTTGCGATGTCATGAAGTTTTGCGTTGTACACGGACGGTCATACAGGCGGTTGTGAACTAGCTGAGAATACGTATTCTTTCTTTGATGAGCTTACACGAGGTTGATAATGATATTTATTTATTTTCGGCTAACGTTTCGACGTCTTCGTTTTCCTCAGAGCCAATGATCCGAGTCGATGGTCCATGCTCGTTGTCCGTCTCGACGTTGTAGCTTCCCCTTCGTGTAGAGTCAGGTCTTCCTCAGTGAGCCATCTTCTCGAATGAGGCATCCTCACTCCGTGATGCCCTTTTATACACGATGCTGATGGTGGATATAATAATAATGTTCGGTGGTAGCAGCTTGTATTTCTTCCGGACATACATCATTTCGAAATATTACTAGACTATTACACGATGTGCGCAATGATGTATGTCCGGAAGAAATACAAGTTGTTACCACCGGACATTATCATTATATCCACCATCAGCATCGTGTATAAAAGGGCATCACTGAGTGAGTATGCCTCATTCGAGAAGATGGCCCACTGAGGAAGACCTGACTCGACACGAAGGCGCAGCTGCAACGTCGAGACGAACAACAAGCATGGACCATCGACTCGGATCATCGGCTCTGAGGAAGACGAAGACGTCGAAACGTTAGCTGAAATTAAGTAAATATCATTATCAACCTCGCGTAAGCTCATCAAAGAAAGAATACATATTGATTAGTGAAACCGAGGTTCAAGGAAAGTCGGTTTCGAAATAGTTGACGATAATTAGGACCCTATTATAGCTGGAATTATCGCTTGGCGGCCTGGATTTTCCTTCACACCTCTCCCAAGGAGACGCGGTTTCGTAGCCATTGGAGATGGTTATTTGCCACTGCAATTGCAGTGATTCTTCCTTTTGCTCTCTACCTGTGCACACACTCATGGTTGTTGTAATCATGTTTTCTACAAGCGTCCTTTAATGTGTGAAAAATGAGAGTAGAGTTAATGAACCAATGTGTTTTTGCTGTTTTGCTTTCGCTACCAGTTTGTGGAGTACCCGTTTCGGATAGGTTAGTTTGAACTTTCAGAAGTGGAACCCAGTTTTCTTCCGGTTTCTCCCACGTAAATTTAATGTACCTTGGCTGTTCATGTAATATCTCAAAACCTTTGTTCATCTATTTTACTGTAGAGGAAATGACAAAACAATCATCTACATAACTACGACAGGGTAATAACCGAAGATCGATTGCTACTGTTCCATCTTTGACATAAAGACAAGGGCAATGCATGGAGCTAGCCGCTGTGTTGCCAACGCTCCTATTCGTGCGTATATTTTTTTAACCATCTGAAAGTTGAGCAGTTTAGGCACTCCTTTAGGAGGACTATCAAATGCAGAATCGTGAAGCCATGGGTGTTTACTGCTTCTTAGTACTATATAGGAAGTTCGAGCATAGAGCTTGCGTAGTGGAGTCATTGGACACGTTTTTATTACAAAGGGCTAGAATATACGTTAGCAGTTGGGTGAAAATTAAAGTTAAGAACCCTGTTATTCAATCCGTTGTTCCGTCTACATGGCTGATGAGGGGTTTAACCTTAAATAACGATGGGTCTGTAGACACAAAATCATCAGTGAATACTTACTTATGAGTTTGGGTAAGTGAGGCAAACATAGGACATGTTGGTAATTCAACTTTGAGTTGAGAGATGACTAATGGTTTTAACCCAACCGCCTTTGTCACCTTGACCTATTCGCTCTTCAGTTTTCAGCAATGAATTCTGCATTCCTTCTCAGGTGATGGGCAATTAAGAAAAACATCTTCAAAATGCTTTCTCGTTATGTCAGTAGCTAGATGAAGACGAATTACTATAAACTCTCCACCTTAATGAATAACGGATAGTCTAATATTTTTAGACCTTTTACGGTTGAGGAAATGGCGTTGGTGGTAATACTCCTGTTTCTTGTTCTTCATCCCTATTTAGTGCTTCAACCGTAACTTTTTTGTGGAATCTATCTTGAACTTCATGCAAACTATATGCAACCCTACGTAAGGAAGCTTTAGAAGTGGGTTCAGATGGTGTGCCCTATCCAAAAAGCGAGCGCTCGTCATGAGGGTGTGCAATGCCATAAATTCAGTTGCTACTTTTCGAGCCTTAACGATTTTTTCACTTAAAGGAATGAATCCGCTCAAATGGAGTCAAGCACATAATAATAAGCAGTTGATATGCTTGAATGGAATTTCGAGTACTCAAAAGTTTGGACAAGAAACGAAAAGTAGTGCTTTAAAGATGGGTGACACTGGATTAGTTTTAAAAAAGCTGGTAAACAGAAATGCTCAAACGGACAAACGATAGCCGATAAAATATGTCCACGGCAGAATTGAATTCACGCCATGAGTTATCTTTTCCAGCCAGAAATGTCCGAAATTTTGAAACTCCTGAATCGGTTGACTGACGTCTGGGTTGTTGGCAAGTGTAAGTGTTTCATGCAGCGATCAAAATCCACTACTCATATTGACTGCTTTATTTTGGAACAATGGGTTCTCGAAGAGCTAAATGAATGTGCCAGGCTTATCAGGTATACTGTTTCTTGTTCTTTCCCTATGTCTACGACAAAAAATACTTCACAATGTTTTAGTAATATTTCAGCTTTGGGTATGAATTTCGCACTGGGACTCCCGCCATGGAAGATTCGATAATTTACGCGGAAAGTCTCGACAGTCTACGAACAGAAGCTCGTGACGATTTTGCTTATAGAAAGTCTAGTTCCTAGAATGTTCATTTTCCAATTATACTACAAACCTTTCTATCAAAGAGTGAGAAAATGCATAGTTATAAAATGTTGACCACATCAAAATGGAATGCATTGCCTTGCGTTCTTTTATGAGATTTAACAGCTGAACACTGCAAGCAATATGATGTTTTAGTAAATATTTTATTCAGAGTGTGCTTTTAAATGTCTGTCTCCTTGTGAATGAAGCAAGGTATAACAAGTGATGGTCCACCTTTGCTGGGTACCATAATCTTGTGAATAATGTTTCCGCTGACACGAACATATCCTTTTTTCGCCAAGGCCGGTTTATCATAGCTTTTATTCTGTACAATATAACCATCCTTTTCAGTGATATCGTCTGGTAGTACCTGAAAAACTGTTGGCAATTATTAGAATATTCTTGTAACTTCTACAGCAATGTGCACTCAACACATCTCACTCTACAGAGCAGCTTTTTCTCACTAGTTTTATCAGATTATCAAAGAAGGATTTGTAACATTGAACCTTAATATTGCTCTCTTTGACAAGCTTGGCTACAGTAGGACTAAGTGGTTCGTAAAGGATGTTTCTTTGCTGATATTGTAAATCCGCCAGTATGTACTCTATACCAAGTTCTCGTGCTTGTTTTGAGTTCAGCACCGCTCCTCGAACTAAACGAAAGTCACTACCTTAATGGTAATGAGGTTGTACCTTTTAATAACCCCTCTGAACTATTAACGAACCTTGCACTAATTTTCCTCCAGCGGTTTTCATTACTTCGATACCAGTGTGTTTTAAGATGTGCTCACCAACTTGAAGACCACTAAATCTACCTTAACTGCTCAAACCTGTGTGCAGACGATCCACAAGAACTCACGAGATCACTGCGCCTTTAGCGTCTTCCATTTTGCTGCCAAGATAGTGAATTTTTCGAATGTACTCTGTACCCGCTAAATCAATACACATTGTGGCTCTGAAAACAAACATCTTCAAAAACGAATGAGTGATTACGATGACAGTAAAGTCAATGACAATCTTACAGTGATAAACCGAAAATAATATATGCCATCGTAAAAAACATGTAGACTTGTTCCGTCGGGACAATATCTCCGAATCCTAAACGACATAAATGATTAGTGCTAATGTACTAGTTTGAATCTTCAAGCGATTATTCTTACCTACTGTTGCCATTGTAATGAAGCAGAAATAGAATGCTTCGAAGTACTGAAGTCCTTCCCATGACTGCAAGGATTTAAAGTGATACAGTGTTTTGTGACAATTTTCATTCTTGGATTAAGTAGAGTATTGTCTGAATCTCTGATATTGAATGACGTTGGGCTTTCATGACATTTTGAGGGGAAATGCGTGAAAAACCGTATTCGAACTTGTTTTTATTCCACAGTTTCCGCTTCGCAGCATTTTCTAACCGAATTTAGAAGTGTTAGAAAGAAGTGCTTGAAATAGCCTTCGAAATCAATTTCCATCTAACTGCATTTCTGAATATGTTGTCAGAGGTAGTAATAATCATAAAAGGGCTCTAAAGCTCTCGGCGTTGATCAGTCCCTAAGGGATGCGCCATGCATTCGACTTCATTATGTACCGTGGGAGGTGATTGAATGCACATCTGGCCTTTACAATGAATTGCGTTGGCTTAGCGATATATCGACTCAGTGCTGCTATCCTCCCAGGCAAGTCTGGTACCAATTTGCCGAACCCGGAGTGATAGAGTTCTTGGTGGGCCTGGAGCGCAGGCATCGATCGAATATGCATGGCAGGGCGCTCCAATCACTGCGCTACAAACGCCTTTAATAACAATAGCAACAATAATAACAATGATAACAATAATAAAAATTACAAAAACAATAATAATAATGCGCACCTGAAAGAGAAAACCGCCAATAGCCGTATAAGCCAATAAGACAAATAATACCATAAATACTGGAATCCTTAGTTCATCTTCCATAGAGGATTCTGAGCCACTATCCATTTCTTGCAAATTAAGAGAACCTGCCTGAACGTTGAGCAATTCTGTTATATTCTTTTCGGTATTCGGTTTCGTGGCAGCCTGCAGGAGTCACATATTCCAAACTTGACAAGATGTAATCGTCACAATTGGTGGCTGAGATTTTTCTTCATAACCGACGGAATTTGGAGGAAATAAAGGAACTTATTTGGAGAAATTCAGAAATGTTCCTGAATGCGTGATAAAGTTTGAAAGAGAGGAATGAAATAGTGATGAATTACACCTACAGAAAGCTCATACGTTCCTTCTAAGGAACTTGTGACTTGAAGAGAACTTGTTTTGCTGCAAATGCACAGCGTTCATTAAAAAAACGAATGAGTGTTTCAGAAGTTATATATGGAATAGTTGACGCATTATTTTAAACTTTTTAAGGTCGTTATTAATCAGTGAAACTACGCTTTATTCTTAAAGCTTAAAATTGAACCATATAATCTTCAAATAAGACTACGGCTAGAAAAAAACTATGCGAACAAGATCTCAACCTTTTTATTTACTTCCCACTACAATTTTTAACGGCAGGGTACCATGTGAAATACAACTAAGATGATGCTGAGATATTGGCAAGACTCCGGAGGTGTATGGTCTGGAGTTTTGCCAATATCTCAGCATTATTTTATTTGTATCCGAACAAAACTTTTTTACCGATATCAATAGTGTTTGCATCCCGACTTGACGAAGACAATTTGTGTAGATCTATTCTATTTGTCGGATTTTCGTCATTTCTTTCAAGTAGTTGTGTTCACTCAAGCAGCAATCATGGAAAGCTCTGTTCAATTTTTTTCCCTTGCTTTTTTTTTGCTGTTTTCTAATATTTTTCAAGATTAGCGATCTAAAGAAAGCTGTCTAGTAGTAGATAGCGGTCGTTAGTGAGTGTTAGTCTGGGAATTGCAGCAAATTTCACATATTCGATTTAACTGGAGACAAGAGGTGAATTTTTCAATCGATTTAACGAAGAGGCTTCTCAAATAGCGTTTACATCTAGTACTCACCTTAGAGGATCCGTTATCACTAGCATGCGACTGCGATGATGATCGGTAATGGTGCGAAATACGACGTGATTGCTTTCGAATCTGCAAAATGACAGCAAGACATCTTCCCCTTTATCCAAAAGACGCAATTTCAGAAGGAATGTATGGATGGTCTCTGACAGTTTTATGTTTGCATTCTAATGCGAAGTCAACAATAGAACTCTTGTCGAAAAGGTCGACTGCTGATATGAAGATGTTATTCCACTATGCAGACAGATGCTCTTTCTTTCATTCATTTTCAATATCGTCAGTGTATTTGAACGATAAACAGATGGTGTTTAGGAATGCATTTGAAGCACAACAACGGCATGCGAAGTCAAAAATGATCATCGATGAGGTGGGTATGTGAGCATATGTCAGTAATGAAATTATACTGAATGAAAAACGTGGATATCAGACCAGTGTGTAAATTAGCGTGCCAATGGAGAATTAAAGGAGTATCAATGAACATTTAAAGACACGCTAAAGTTGGCATGCTTTACCACATCAGAAATGCTTGTTATCCTTCTTTCAGTCAGCTGAAAGCGTTGAATTCTTCAAAATCCTGATCCAGCACCTAGATACTACAAACTAAAAACATTTCCAACAATGGCAACGTATATGGCCGACTCCATAACAGCGCTAACTGAGGATTTAGGTCAACGAGATTAACAATGCCGTTAAAATAACATAAGTGCAAGTACATGTGTGAATTTTCCATATCGAGACATCTCAAGGCATATGTGTAACTAAGGGGTGTGAAGATAACCCACTTTTCGTTTGAAAGCGCGATAGGACTTGTAGAGGAAGCTGAGAAATTCTGACAGAAATTTCCCAATGTCCGCAATAGTTACGAGCAGTAAAGGAATCCCAAATAGTGCAAAAATTATGCATGCAACACGTCCGGACGTAGTGGTTGGGACCAAGTTTCCATACCCTGCAAAATAAAGAGCACTAAAAAACTTTTTCTCGTATAAACTCTAGTAACGAGAATATTTTTTATGGGCTTTATACCTTTTAATGAGGAAGGCAGGCTAATCATGATCACTTACTTGCTTTTTCGCTTTCATAAACATTTAATTAAGATGAAGTTCACTAAAGCAGTTTGTCAGATGATTCAATAGCATCCCTACCGATTGTTGTAATAACAGTGGTGGCGAAGAAAATGCTATTGGGGTATGTCCAGAGTAAGTCTTCTCCCTTCGTTTTGTTTGTGAGGTGGTTTTCGTTGATAAATTGATTTCTATATGAAATGAATATGTTCTTCACCAGTTGTTCAAAGTATTCCTGATTAATCGAATTGAAAGCATCTCGTGAGATTCGATTGTCGTCATCCTACAAGTGGAGAGCTTGAGAAAAAAGCAAAGCATCTAGCTGCTTGGTTTGAAAACAAATGTGTTAGCAAGCAGACTGAAATTTTTGCAACAAAGGAAAAATATAATACAGCTTACAAACTTTATAAATGATTCACCTGCGTAATGTTCCAGATATGATCCTGGAAATCATCTCGTAGGCCAAAGATTGTCCGTAGCTCGTAGTCTCGCTGCTGTGAAATTTTTTATTTAGTGCTTTTCTAGTACCGAGTGGAAGTTTTTACTAGAGAAGAAACCTATATAAGTTTAAAAAAACAACTAGAGCTCACCACTAACTCGTTTGGTCCTTCAATTGCGTGAAAAATTGTGGCTCCAATTAAAAGGTAAGCAAAAAGTAAGCACACGAGTCCAACATGTGGCAGTATCCTTTTCGCATACTAAAGTTTTTTTTAATAAGAAACTGTCCCAAGCACATCGAAAACTGAATTAAAGCCTCAGGGAAAAATTAAAAGTGTAAAGTAAACGAAGGGGTTTTTTGGATAGCTGTGTCATTTCTCACAAATATAACACATACAACACAACGGTAGCTGACGTTTCGGCAGTATCACCTTCTTCAGAGCCTGGAAGGATTGCTTTGTTCGTTTAACGATGGTTTTATGTCATTTATATTTCATTATCAAATGCGACAGAATTCACGTCACTAACGCTTTCATCATTTCAAAAACATATTAACATGAACGCAAGCAGAGGGATCGAAAAGACGATACCATCTCGCCAAAATTATTTTCATCCATCGTCGGGAGCGCCGGCGAATGTTGGAAAGGAACAATGTGAAAGTGGTAGCCGACGGTCGGAAATCACGCTCATGCCCCATCCACACTCAGCGGATTGAGTGTATTGGAGAGCTTTCAAGAGCATTGAGGATTTAGTGTAGATAGTATACATGTATGTAAATGTACGCCTTCATGTCATCACTTCGGAAGCTCGCTACCAACCAAGATGAAAGATCGCTCAAGGATATTCGAGGACATGATGCAGAGAGTATCTTGTATCAAATAAGTGATAGAGGATCCGCAGCTCCGGCCAACGTTGACTCAAAAATCAGAAACGCCATTCTATATGCGAAGCCCACAGAGGTAAGATTGGTCGGACACGTAATCCGTATAAACGACAACCGATGGACAGGAACCGTTAGTGACTGGATTCGTCGGTATGTCAAACGTACTTCAGAAGCACTACTGGCACGATGGTCAGAGTTCGTTGTGAAAGATATGATGCTCAGCTAGTCCTTAGAATGAGCAGAGCTCATTGAGCTACTCTCGCAAGCGGTAGGAAGAAATCGAAAATCTAGCACTTGAGTCATTCGACGACCAACCGGGCAACGAGTGAAAGGTAATATGTGTGCTGGCATGATTGCCACTGCCACCTGCTGCAGATATTGGCGCTAGAAATCTGGTTGCAGGCGACAGAGATATTGTGGCTATAGGACTGCACTTCTGTTGAAATTGCTGATAACTGTAATAATTTGAACTTACTTTCTCAAATTCATGCGAGCGAAATCAGGCACCAATGTGTAAAATGCGTTTTATCAGCATTGACTTAAAGATTTCAGTGTGTTTTGCTTTGTTCGTTTAGCAATGGTTTTATTGCATCTGAACTAGTTCGTGGCTTTCTTGGTGAGGTCACTCGTAACCTATGTATTTTATTACGCTTTTGCAACCCACTTGATCAGTCCTGTATATCAAATACACTTAAATGACTTCGTTGGGTGCTCTAGATTATCAGAACGTAGTGAAGTATATAACCCCACAAAAAGGAAAGCCTTTTGTTTTTTTGATGAAGGTATTTTATCTCATCAATTGAATGTCGCTACTGTGGTGCTTACAAAATGTTACGAAAGCAAGAGCGGTGCATGTAAAACATGACTTTTAACTACTCGAGTGTTTGACACAAGAAAAATAAAACTAGCATTCATGCAAAGGTGTATGGAACCCTTAGTAACCTTAATACCGCATTTATAACTTAATGGCAGTTGATAGATGGTTTTCCTATACGCTAACGAATAGAACCTTTTCTAACTATTATTGGCCAATAACTTCAATGTGAAAACCAAGTGTTCATTCTCTATCGTAATCGTGAATGTCATTAATATCATTCATATCGCAAACTTTTGTTTAAAAAGAAGTGTAACGTGAGATCTCTTACCGTGATGTATTTTCTTTCCCTTGTTTCCATATCTATTTCGTCATCTGATATTGGTGGTCCCGATGCCGTCAAATCCATTTCCATTGGGATCTCGTGCAGCGAGGAGCCCGAGTTTTCAGAGCCCTTCATATATATACACATATATATATAGATGATATAGAAATAGCTCTCTTCATTTTTTTGTCCACGCTTAGTGCTATGTCGAATTCAGAAGTAATGGAGAACATAGTACTCGTTTCTACTTATCTACCTTGCTATTTCAAAATTGGAACCAATCATAAGCAAAATACTGGGTTTTTATTCGTCTACCTATTTGTCTGTGCGATTTTCTGTTGTTAGTAGAAATTCGTTGCCGTCGCATTCACATATAAACGTAATATTTAAATCTTGTCAAAACGACTAAAAGCACGATAAACGAAAAATTACAAAATCGACTTCCTGCATCAGAAAAACTCACCATATCGAAGTTGTCATTATTTTGGTTGTACATGTTTAAGGTGTGTTATTTAATTTGGTAGCAAATCATGGAGGTGGTCTGCTGTTGAGAAGAATGAGGTGAGACCGGTGTTGGTGATTGCAGTAGTATTGCTGCTAGTTGTCATGCAACAGCTGTTCGTAGAGCATTCGACAAGGTGTAAAAGAACGAAGCAAATGCGTTTGAAATGATTACTCCGTCATCTGTTATAAAGTGATGAAACTGTGTGATTATGCGGAGTTCTGTTTTTCCACCATTCAGGAATTCCGCCAATTCCAGAGAAGAACCCTAATTTTCCGGTTTGAGAGTTGAGTTTAAAATATCAGTCAGAGTTATTTCCACTTAAATTTGCCGATGATGATTTCACTACTAATTTTTAGTCTAAAGTGTTGGTTTGAAGTTGTTCTAGATTTTGATAGTTATATTAGCTCGCATCAACTGAAGTGAAACTCTTCAACCGAACAATTGGACATTCTCACCTGGATAAGATTTGTTGAAAAATAAACTTAATAAGAGTAGACACTTAGAGCTATCTTAGAACAAAAAGGACGCATTCTGACAGGTAAAAAATGAAACTTTCCGTGTTGATCAATCCCTGAGTGATGCGCCATCCATTCGACTTCATTAAGTATCGTTAGAAGTAATTAAATGCATATCTGGCTTTTACAATGACTCGCGGTGGCCTACCGATGTATCGAGCCAGTGCTGCTAACCTCCTAGACAACTCTGGCACCAAGCTGCCGAGCCCAGAGGGATGAAAGGCTTGATGGGCCATCGGCGCAGGGATCTATTCCACGCCTATGTTGCAGGTCACCTCAGACCACTGCGCCGCACGCACCCTGACAGGTAAACACGAATATATCCATGTGTATTTTTTCGCATTATTGGGAAAACAGTAAGAATTGTCGTCCACTTGCATCAACTTGTACACCATACGAAGGAAGCTGTTATGATCTTAAATTTTCTTCGCTCAAAACAGCCAATCTATTTTTTCACTTTCAGGACCATCATGTGAGATCATTCTTTCAGTGTAATTCACTTCATTTGACATTAAATAGTCACGATCCCTTGTCGCAATCATATTGACGAAGTCTCGGTCTCATGTGGAGATAATCACATCATTGCAGCGGCACTATAGAGCGCTCGTTAGCAACTCGAAAGGTCTAATGATGACTCCCTCCAGTGTGTTTCCATTCGTACGACCGCAGTTATAGTTTATTCAGTTTTGCCACTACAACTGCCTGTCGAAATCTTGTGTGCCATTTTTCCCTTTTTGGAACTAAAGTATGCGAATACCTCAACTCGAAGTTTTCTTGTTCTGATCTTCGAAAAATTTCCCTTTCGACGTAGCTGATCCACATATTCATCCTCACACAATACAGTAAGCCACGAGATAGTGCCACATATTTTAAACGTCATTCTCTGTAAATATCAATTTTGAGGCCAGAAAACACTTTCGACACCATTACCTATTTGTTTCTCATAGGGCCATATAACAAATCTTTCAGCGTTTCTTAGCGACATACTCCATTTTGATCACATCTTCATGCTGGTGTTTCATTATGTTCTCAGTTGTAATCGTGTCATGTGCAAATGCAAGCACTGAGAGTGGCATCGATGGACGTGACCTTTGAAATCATAGTTTAGTGCAGAATGGTGACAATGAGATACTTTGAAATGATATGAGAAAGAATGAACTTGTAAATAGGTTTATGTTCATGAACATTCTCGCGACCACGATCGATTTCGCTTTTCTGCCCCAATGGAGGACGTCTAATTTCCATCGCCTGTTAAATTCTTGCTTTCTCAGAAATAGATAACAATTTTCTGATAATTAAAGGGCGGGATGGTTTGTTAGCATGAATGGATCGTGGAGAAGACATTGTTCTATAGTTTTGTTGGCATGAGTGGTGTGTACGTTGCAAATTTACTACACGTTGCTGTAGTCCAATATGCATGTGCCAGCATTTGAAGGTGCTTTGGAACTTATGATGCGTCTCTTTCAGTATCTTTACATTCGCAAATTCTTGACAACTCTTATTCACCATAGCGATCAGAATTGTGGAATCTCTACTTTTTACTTGAATTGTACAGAACCATTTCTTAAGTTTATTTCTCATATTTCTAAAGTTCATTCTTCATTGCTGCCATATGTCGGCTGCTAAACAAGTATAGTCAAGAATACGAACATTTTTATGCAAGTTCTACTTGGCAACTCAAAGGCGAGAAGGATAAGGCAACTTGTGGAAGCAGAAACGTAGTGAGGGCAACCCTGACGTGACATTTGGATTTACCAATGCTATGAAAGTGTTCCTATAGAATATTTACTTACCTATTTCGTTCTACAAGCAAACATGAAAATCAGACAAAACTCTTGGCGTTAATCAATCCCTGAGAGATGTGCCATGCATTCGACTTCATTAAGCATCGTTAGAGGTGATTGAATGCATATCTGGCCTTTACAATGACTCGCGGTGGCCTACCGATGTATAGAGCCAGTGCTGTTATCCTCTCAGACAAGTTTGGCTCCAATTTACCGACCCCAGAGGGATGAAAGGCTTGATGGGCCATCGGAACGGAGATCAATTCTATGTGTGTGTTACAAGGCATCTCCGACCACTGCGCCACACGAGCCCAAGCAAACGTAGAGGTTTGAACTTTCAGTTTATGAATTGATCAATATGCGGAAGCCAGTGCGTTCAGGCGTAAAGTCATCTGTGATATTACGGGTGGCAGTTAAATAAATTTAACACGTTATATTGTGATTGAGAGCATAAATATCATCCCTATTTCTGAAAGAAGTTTGAAGTATCCTAAATAAAAGAGGTAAAAATTAGAATATTCGGAAAAAAAGAGATATCAACGATACTCTCAGAATGATACTAAGATAAAGAAATATCACTGCCGCTTTCAGTAAAGTTCAGTGTCTAGCTAACACAAGGTTGATAAAGAGTTTTATTTGGTTAGCCGAGCGCAGTCATACATAAGTTAAAGGAGAGTCGGTTATTGAAACACTGTTCATCAAACATACCTCATTTCATTGATATGCTAGCACGAAGTTGTGACCTAACATTTATTCGGTTTAGACGTCTTGGTCTTATTTAGAGCCGATGAACCGAGTCGGTGGTTCGTAGTTGTTCGCCTTCTCGAGTGGCATTTTCGTAGTAGAAAATTGTTGTTGATAATGATTGCTCATTGATAGTAATTTGTTTTTCAATTGAAAATCTAAGAGTTGGTAACAGACAAGCCTGCACGTAGCGAAGTAATGCTATTGCAAGGTGGCTTTCATTTAGCGTCGTTATAAATGATCAATGTATCTTATTTCATTGATAGATTATCAAATTGCAATCAATGTTAGCAGCAACCGTAATATATAAAAAAGTGCTGTCGAGTGAGGTTGCCTCATTTAGGCAGTGCTCCTCTGAAGGAGGTCCGATACTGTGACGAAGACACCACATCGGGAACACGAACGACTGCATGTAATAGAGTTGGATCATCATCAGCTTTGAGGAAGGCGAAGAGGTCGAAACGTTAGTAGAATAAATATTTGATAACAACCTCATGTTACCTAATCAATAAAATGGGGTGCATTGATCATTCACATTAGGGTTAAATGAAAGTCGGTTTACAATAGTACTGATCAGTCAATTACTGACAAAGCGGAATTGCGTACTGTGCTACTTCTATCTAAAGTGCTTGGACAGTCTGCTGCTACGAAGGAGAAACAAAACAGTCAAGAGAATTTTGAAAGGCACTCAGTTTTTACCACTATTTTTTCTCTCATATAACAGGAAAGGTTGTGCACCTTTATAACAGAAATATGGCCGTCTTCGCGAAAAAATGTTTAAACTCCATTGCAGTTTTCTTTAATTGGTTCGTTGTTGGTTTATCAAGATTTTTCCCTGCGCTCCCAAGAAACCCATACGAATGCGTTCAGTGCTTGTTATCCTAATCAATATCCAGCCTTGGTGAATCGGATGAAAGTTTGTTGATTTACGGCTAAGCTCATTTTTGTTGGACAACCGCAAATCTTGGAGCTGATTTAGTTTAAACTGGCATTTCAGTCAATATCTCGTCCAGGTAGCTGGCTGTGGCTGGATCAGTAAATATTCGTTAATGTTAAGTCACAAGAACCAATAATCACGGTTCGATAAAATTTGGCATTTAGGGGGATCCCACATTGTGGTAACTAACCCACGTTTTTTAAATTCAGGTCGATGGCAGTGTAAGCAAGTTTGAGTGCCTTTTCAGGTTGCTCGTTGTTGAGCACAATCTTATCCACAGATCGTCGCCCGAACTGTGTTCGTTAAATATCTTCCATCTCGCTTCCATGTTAACATGAGCTTCCATTTAGAGACAAATCTTCTTTGCATCTCAAATCATTTCAGCCGAAATGCTTGAATTAGAATTGCACCTTCAGTTTAATATTTTCACCATGCTCGAACACGCCGATCACATTCTTGGTAGCGTTGGTGAGGAGCTCTTTGAGAATAGTGGTTCAATTTCGTCGGTAGTTCATGTCCTTTCGAGATTACTTTACTTTTAGTGTCCGTTTCGTGTTATATTCTTGTTAAAGAATATTATCAGGACATACTCTATTGTGGCGGAAATCTGTTCAACTCCCAAAAGAAGTTTTAACAAAAATCCACAAGGA